ACTAACAGACCTATAGTTGCTGACATCAGACCTACTATTTTTTCTTGAAGATAGAAGTAATTCCGGCCTCCTTGAACCACTCTTGTACAGTAGTAGTGGTGATGGACAAATTTATTATGTGAGCAATAGGGATTGGCAATTCCGAGGCACTATCTTTTAGGAACTTAGACGGGATGCTATCTAGGATGGTGCTCTTAGTTGGGTTTAACCTGCTTAGTTCTTTTTGTACGAAGTTATGAGATACACTTATTAGTTGACAACTGTTTGGGATTACCCCTTTATAATAACAATAATAATTTTTATTATTATTATTATTAAGACATGATACTTAGTTGTACAAGGTATTATAGTAGTTGGGTGTACATGTCAAAAGCCCCTTGTATGTAGAGCATTATGGGCAGGCTTAAAATTAACTTAAGATTAAGATTGATATAGTTTGATATAGACTGATATAGATTAATATTGATATAGTATGTATTAAACTTATCCGAGTCTGTGTTAAAGGTATTTGATGCAGCCGGTAGTTTACTTACTAGTGTTGATGTGACAGATATTATTATTATAATCAAGGGGGAAGCGCTAAACCCGGAGGATTATACAGCGCCTGGGGGGAGGATGTGGAAGGCATTCAGGCTTAATTCGGGGAACTGGAGCACAGATCCAATTCCCTAAATCAAGAGCCCCTCACCAACATCAAGGAACCTTCCTTGAGGGGTGTGACAGATGTGCAGTAGGAATTAAAACAATTTGCCACTTTAGCTGTTTCGCGGCATACCTCATTATCGATTTTTGGTACTATGTTAGATCTATCTACGGGTTTATGGCTACACCCCAACTGTTTTAGTTGTCGGAGCTTTCTAGGATTATTCTTGTACTCTTCGATTTTGGAACAATAGTGCCTTGCCTTTGCTCCTTTTGTAAGTCTCTGCACTCTGTTCCTCACCCCTTGGAATTCATTTAGCGCTGCAATATCCTGTCTGTTTGCCTTAAATCTTTTTAGCACTGGTCTCTGAATTTCATGTCTAATATCTCAGTAGTCATCCAGGGTTCGGTCCTACGTTTAATCCCCAATGTAAATAAGTCACTTTGACTTTCTTGGGTTATCCCAGTTAACCTACAAATATGCTGCTATGTATGATAATCATTCACCTAATTGTGGTTGCAGTGGTCGAGACTCAGCTCCTGGCCCCGCCTCTTCACCGAGTGCTACTAAGTCCTCTCTCTCCCTGCTCCATGAGCTTTATCATACCTCATCTTAAAACTATGTATGGTTCCTGCCTCCACTACCTCACTTGCTAGGCTATTCCACTTCCTATGACTGAAGAAATACTTCCTAACATCCCTTTAACTTATCTGGATCTTAAACTTCAATTGTGACCCCTTGTTTGTGTCCCCTCTCTGGAACATCATGTCTGTCCACCTTGTGTATTCCACGCAGTATTTTGTATGTCGTTATCATGTCTCCGTTAACCCTCCTGTCCTCCAGTGTCGTCAGGCCAGGGTCATTGTAACTGTATTTGTGTATACCTGAATAAACTTACCACCGAAGATGGGGTGATCCAGGACACACTGTTGTGCCTTGAAGGAAGACCCCTACGACCACAATGTTGTGTTGCGTCCTAGACGAAGACTTAAGCACCGCAACACACACTGTGTTTGGATGCATGTATATATGTGTGTATAATATTACATCTGGTCTACGCTGCTATGGCGGACACTGAGGTACAAGGGGCTGGGCCCATGCTGTACGGTGATACCCTTTTTTTTTTCCAAAGGTTTCAAGAGCTTTCCTATTCCCACAGCCCGGACCTGAGGCGGCAGACTTGTCTGGTCAACCCGCCTGTTGCTGCTGGCGACCCGATGGTAAAACAAGCATCACAACCTGGTTGGTCCAACACTTGGAGGTACATGTCCAGTATCCCCTTGAAGATTTCCGCACTTGTTCCGGCAGTGTTTCTGGCACAGACGTATTGTAATATGCAGGCGCCATCCTTCAGTCATATTATCCACCACTCCTCATCCTCCCTCTTCTTTATCCACTACCGATCCGTCCTCAAAGTAGTAGTAGTAATACTAGTAGCAGTAGCACTAGGAGTACTAGTAGCAGTAGTACTAGTAGTACTAGTACTAGTAGCAGTAGTACTAGTAGCAGTAGTACTAGTAGCAGTAGTACTAGAAGTAGTAGTATTAGTACTAGTAGCAGTAGTACTAGTAGCAGTAGTACTAGTAGTAGCAGTACCAGTAGCAGTAGTACTAGTAGCAGTAGTACTAGTAGTAGTACTAGTAGCAGTAGTACTAGTAGCAGTAGTATTAGTACTAGTAGCAGTAGTACTAGTAGCAGTAGTACTAGTATTAGTAGCAGTAGTACTAATAGGACTAGTAGCAGTAGCACTAGTAGTACTAGTAGCAGTAGTACTAGTAGCAGTAGTACTAGTAGCAGTAGTACTAGTAGCAGTAGTACTAGTAGTAGTACTAGTAGCAATAGTACTAGTAGCAGTAGTACTAGTAACAGTAGTACTAGTAGCAGTAGTACTAGTAGCAGTAGTACTAGTAGCAGTAGTACTAGTAGTATTAGTAGCAGTAGTACTAGTAGCAGTAGTACTAGTAACAGTAGTACCAGTAGTACTAGTGGCAGTAGTACTAGTAACAGTAGTACTAGTAGCAGTAGTACTAGTAGTAGTACTAGTAGCAGTAGTACTAGTAGCAGTAGTACTAGTAGCACTAGTACTAGTAGCAGTAGTACTAGTAGTAGTACTAGTAGCAGTAGTACTAGCAGTAGTACTAGTAGCAGTAGTACTAGTAGCAGTAGTACTAGTAGCAGTAGTACTAGTAGCAGTAGTACTAGTAGCAGTACTAGTAGCAGTAGTACTAGTAGTAGTACTAGTAGCAGTAGTACTAGTAGCAGTACTAGTAGCAGTAGTACTAGTAGCAGTACTAGTAGCAGTAGTACTAGTAGTAGTACTAGTAGCAGTAGTACTAGTAGCAGTAGTACTAGTAGCAGTAGTACTAGTAGCAGTAGTACTAGTAGTACTAGTAGCAGTAGTACTAGCAGTAGTACTAGTAGCAGTAGTACTAGTAGAAGTACTAGTAGCAGTAGTACTAGTAGCAGTAGTACTAGTAGCAGTAGTACTAGTAGTACTAGTAGCAGTAGGGCTAGTAGCAGTACTAGTAGCAGTAGTACTAGTAGCAGTACTAGTAGCAGTAGTACTACCAGTAGTACTAGTAGCAGTAGTGCTAGTAGCAGTAGTACTAGTAGCAGTAGTACTAGTAGCAGTAGTACTAGTAGCAGTACTAGTAGCAGTAGTACTAGCAGTAGTACTAGTAGCAGTAGTACTAGTAGCAGTAGTACTAGTAGTAGTACTAGTAGCAGTAGTGCTAGTAGCAGTAGTACTAGTAGCAGTAGTACTAGTAGCAGTAGTACTAGTAGCAGTACTAGTAGCAGTAGTACTAGCAGTAGTACTAGTAGCAGTAGTGCTAGTAGCAGTAGTACTACTAGTAGTAGTGAACTATCACTAATATAAACATTTAAGTAGCCACTTAGGGTATACATTAAGACAGACCGACGCAGGCAGCTACTGCACCTCCAATTTATGCTATACAAGGACCCCAAAGGACCCCAATGGAAATAAGTCACTCTGACTTTTTTGGGTTATCCCAGGTTCTCTACACATATGCTGCTATGTATGATAATTCTATGTAACTGTATTTGTGTATACCTGAATAAACTTACTTACTTACAAAAAAATACATCTTAAAATTTCAATAGTTATATAACACCGTATTACTAGTGACATATTAAAAAAAAAAACGAAAAATAAAAACTATAGTGACCATATAGTGTTGTGAAGCCACAATATTATAACAAAGAAAATATTAGAGGGCCATGTGACCCATACTTTTACTATTTTGTTCAAGGTCAATGGCCGAGATTTATACAGTGTACGCCATTGTTGGGGGAGATGTTGCTGCTATGTGAAGCCTTGCTGCTTGTACCACCTATTGCCACCTGCACATATATATTAAGAATGTTATTAGCCATATTGATTCCGAGTATTTTAATTTATATTTAAAGAAAGAGGTGATAAGGACATCACAGTAGACAAACCCGTAGTGCTGATATATTTGGCGTTCTGTAAGTAAATTCACAAAAATAATGAAGCAGAATATTATAATTTGACGGAGAAAAGGAGTACGAAGCTGTTTCCTGCAGAATTGAAAAGGAAAAAAAAAAACGATTAGCATTGAGCTTATCAGACAAGGAAAGTAGACAGAAGAAGCAATCTTGATGTGTACAGTTTGAACTCACATGAACCCGTTTAGAAAAAACAATATATACAATAGATAGGGACAATTTTGCACATTAATCATTGCGAAGAGTTACCTCATAAAATTATCCTCAGCTTTTCTTTTCTCTGTTGAAGAACGTCATGTATTCCTCCGCTTTAATATCGAACCTGTCCCATCGTAGACACTTACTGCCACCATTTATTTTCTGACTCTCATATTAGAAAATTTTTAATCATTTTAATCTAATTATACTTTTAAAACTGGACAGAAATCAATACTCTCAATATTAAAATTATTTGAATTCTGCACTACTTACAATCGCGGTGTTGATTTAAGTCCTAGAACACCTCTGGGATAATCAATAGACGAAGAAACCAGCCATGTTACTCTTATTGTAGTAGGTAGGTAAAAACAAGTGAATAGCGAATATTTACCTTTAAAAAGTATTTACTTCCTAAACTTATATTCAAACCTGAATACATTAACATCAGGGTGTTGAACCTTACACTGTTTGCTGGGGTCAGTTTACATGTAGCCGTGTCGGCTTGTTGTTAGTGAATATTATACTTTTATGCCTCCAATATGGATTTGTTATTGAAATTTGATTATAAATTTTAAAATCATGGATTACAGTGAACTCTTAAAGCACCAAAGAAGTTTTGAAGGTAAGATAGAGAGTTAGTGCGTAATAAAAATATAAAATATAGTTTGTTTACATCAGTATGGGTGGGCGCAGCAAAACGTCAGCACTTACAATATATTTCTCCCTTGTTGCTAGCCCCTCGTCAATTTCCAGCATATATGTTCACACAGCTTGCCAGAATCTATCTAATCTTATAAGCCAGCAAACATCCGCCCGTCTAGTTTAATAGAGAACTTGCAGTCCGTCAAGATGTTAACAATTGGTAAGATCACTTGCTGCTCTCACGTTAGAAATTTAATGTTTTTAATATGTGCAGTGGTTAGTTTTGTGATGAATTTAGTTATATTCGTAGTTATTTTTAATTTGAAGGTCATTGCTAGTGTGGAAATGGCTGGGGTGCCCAGGTGTTGGATGGCTGGAGTGCCCAGGTGTTGGATGGCTGGAGTGCCCAGGTGTTGGATGGCTGGAGTGCCCAGGTGTTGGATGGCGGGAGTGCCAGGTGTTGGATGGCTGGAGTGCCAGGTGTTGGATGGCTGGAGTGCCCAGGTGTTGGATGGCTCGAGTGCCCAGGTGTTGGATGGCTGGAGTGCCCAGGTGTTGGATGGCTGGAGTGCCCAGGTGTTGGATGGCTGGAGTGCCCAGGTGTTGGATGGCTGGAGTGCCCAGGTGTTGGATGGCTCGAGTGCCCAGGTGTTGGATGGCTGGAGTGCCCAGGTGTTGGATGGCTGGAGTGCCCAGGTGTTGGATGGCTGGAGTGCCAGGTGTTGGATGGCTGGAGTGCCAGGTGTTGGATGGCTGGAGTGCCCAGGTGTTGGATGGCTGGAGTAGTGCCCAGGTGTTGGATGGCTGGAGTGCCCAGGTGTTGGATGGCTGGAGTGCCCAGGTGTTTGGATGGCTGGTAGTGTCCAGGTGTTGGATGGCTGAGTGTCAGGTGTTGGATGGCTGGGGTGTCCAGGTGTTGGATGGCTGGAGTGTCCAGCTGTTGGATGGCTGGAGTGTCCAGGTGTTGGATGGCTGGAGTGCCCAGGTGTTGGATGGCTGGAGTGCCCTGGTGTTGGATGGCTGGAGTGCCCAGGTGTTGGATGGCTGGAGTGTCCAAGTGTTGGATGGCTGGGGTGCCCAGGTGTTGGATGGCTGGAGTGTCCAGGTGTTGGATGGCTGGAGTGTCCAGGTGTTGGATGGCTGGAGTGTCAGGTGTTGGATGGCTGGAGTGTCCAGGTGTTGGATGGCTGGGAGTGTCCAGGTGTGGATGGCTGGAGTGTCCAGGTGTTGGATGGCTGGAGTGTCCAGGTGTTGGATGGTGGAGTGTCCAGGTGTTGGATGGCTGGAGTGTCCAGGTGTTGGATGGCTGGAGTGTCCAGGTGTTGGATGGCTGGAGTGTCCAGGTGTTGGATGGCTGGAGTGTCCAGGTGTTGGATGGCTGGAGTGTCCAGGTGTTGGATGGCTGGAGTGTCCAGGTGTTGGATGGCTGGAGTGCCCAGGTGTTGGATGGCGGGGGTGCCCAGGTGTTGGATGCCTGGAGTGCCCAGGTGTTGGATGGCTGGGATGCACAGGTGTTGGATGGCTGGGGTGCCCAGGTGTTGGATGGCTGGGGTGCCCAGGTGTTGGATGGCTGGGGTGCCCAGGTGTTGGATGGCTGGGGTGCCCAGGTGTTGGATGGCTGGAGTGCCCAGGTGTTGGATGGCTGGGGTGCCCAGGTGTTGGATGGCTTGAGTGCCCAGGTGTTGGATGGCTGGGGTGCCCAGGTGTTGGATGGCTGGGGTGCCCAGGTGTTGGATGGTTGGGGTGCCCAGGTGTTGGATGGCTGGGGTGCCCAGGTGTTGGATGGCTGGGGTGCCCAGGTGTTGGATGGCTGGGGTGCCCAGGTGTTGGATGGCTGGGGTGCCCAGGTGCTGGATGGCTGGAGTGCCCAGGTGTTGGATGGCTGGAGTGCCCAGGTGTTGGATGGCTGGAGTGCCCAGGTGTTGGATGGCTGGAGTGCCCAGGTGTTGGATGGCTGGAGTGTCCAGGTGTTGGATGGCTGGGGTGCCCAGGTGTTGGATGGCTGAAGTGCCCAGGTGTTGGGTGGCTGGGGTGCCCAGGTGTTGGATGGCTGGGGTGCCCAGGTGTTGGATGGCTGGGGTGCCCAGGTGTTGGATGGCTGGAGTGCTCAGGTGTTGGATGGCTGGGGTGCCCAGGTGTTGGATGGCTTGGGTGCCCAGGTGTTGGATGGCTGGAGTGCCCAGGTGTTGGATGGTTGGGGTGCCCAGGTGTTGGATGGCTGGGGTGCCCAGGTGTTGGATGGCTGGAGTGCCCAGGTGTTGGATGGCTGGGGTGCCCAGGTGTTGGATGGCTGGGGTGCCCAGGTGTTGGATGGCTGGAGTGCCCAGGTGTTGGATGGCTGGAGTGCCCAGGTGCTGGATGGCTGGAGTGCCCAGGTTGTTGGATGGCTGGAGTGCCCAGGTGTTGGATGGCTGGAGTGCCCAGGTGTTGGATGGCTGGAGTGCCCAGGTGTTGGGATGGCTGGAGTGCCAGGTGTTGGATTGCTGGGGTGCCCAGGTGTTGGATGGCTGGGGTGCCCAAGGTGTTGGATGGCTGGAGTGCCCAGGTGTTGGATGGCTGGAGTGCCAGGTGTTGGATGGCTGGAGTGCCCAGGTGTTGGATGGCTGGAGTGCCCAGGTGTTGGATGGCTGGAGTGCCCAGGTGTTGGATGGCTGGAGTGCCCAGGTGTTGGATGGCTGGAGTGCCCAGGTGTTGGATGGCTGGAGTGCCCAGGTGTTGGATGGCTGGAGTGCCCAGGTGTTGGATGGCTGGACTGTCCAGGTGTTGGATGGCAGGAGTGCCCAGGTGTTGGATGGCAGGAGTGTCCAGGTGTTGGATGGCTGGAGTGTCCAGGTGTTGGATGGCTGGAGTGCCCAGGTGTTGGATGGCGGGGGTGCCCAGGTGTTGGATGCCTGGAGTGCCCAGGTGTTGGATGGCTGGGATGCCCAGGTGTTGGATGGCTGGGGTGCCCAGGTGTTGGATGGCTGGGGTGCCCAGGTGTTGGATGGCTGGGGTGCCCAGGTGTTGGATGGCTGGGGTGCCCAGGTGTTGGATGGCTGGAGTGCCCAGGTGTTGGATGGCTGGAGTGCCCTGGTGTTGGATGGCTGGAGTGCCCAGGTGTTGGATGGCTGGAGTGCCCAGGTGTTGGATGGCTGGGGTGCCCAGGTGTTGGATGGCTGGGGTGCCCAGGTGTTGGATGGCTGGAGTGCTCAGGTGTTGGATGGCTGGGGTGCCCAGGTGTTGGATGGCTGGGGTGCCCAGGTGTTGGATGGCTGGGGTGCCCAGGTGTTGGATGGCTGGAGTGCCCAGGTGTTGGATGGCTGGGGTGCCCAGGTGTTGGATGGCTGGGGTGCCCAGGTGTTGGATGGCTGGAGTGCCCAGGTGCTGGATGGCTGGAGTGCCCAGGTGCTGGATGGCTGGAGTGCCCAGGTGCTGGATGGCTGGAGTGCCCAGGTGTTGGATGGCTGGAGTGCCCAGGTGTTGGATTGCTGGAGTGCCCAGGTGTTGGATTGCTGGGATGCCCAGGTGTTGGATGGCTGTGGTGCCCAGGTGTTGGATGGCTGGAGTGCCCAGGTGTTGGATGGCTGGAGTGCCCAGGTGTTGGATGGCTGGAGTGCCCAGGTGTTGGATGGCTGGAGTGCCCAGGTGTTGGATGGCTGGAGTGCCCAGGTGTTGGATGGCTGGAGTGCCCAGGTGTTGGATGGCTAGAGTTCCCAGGTGTTGGATGGCTGGAGTGCCCAGGTGTTGGATGGCTGGAGTGCCCAGGTGTTGGATGGCTGGGATGCCCAGGTGTTGGATGGCTGGGGTGTCCAGGTGTTGGATGGCTGGGGTGCCCAGGTGTTGGATGGCTGGGGTGCCCAGGTGTTGGATGGCTGGGGTGCCCAGGTGCTGGATGGCTGGAGTGCCCAGGTGTTGGATGGCTGGAGTGCCCAGGTGTTGGATGGCTGGAGTGCCCAGGTGTTGGATGGCTGGAGTGCCCAGGTGTTGGATGGCTGGAGTGCCCAGGTGTTGGATGGCTGGGGTGCCCAGGTGTTGGATGGCTGAAGTGCCCAGGTGTTGGGTGGCTGGGGTGCCCAGGTGTTGGGTGGCTGGGGTGCCCAGGTGTTGGATGGTTGGGGTGCCCAGGTGTTGGATGGCTGGAGTGCTCAGGTGTTGGATGGCTGGGGTGCCCAGGTGTTGGATGGCTGGAGTGCCCAGGTGTTGGATGGCTGGAGTGCCCAGGTGTTGGATGGCTGGAGTGCCCAGGTGTTGGATGGCTGGAGTGCCCAGATGTTGGATGGCTGGAGTGCCCAGGTGTTGGATGGCTGGAGTGCCCAGGTGTTGGATGGCTGGAGTGCCCAGGTGTTGGATGGCTGGAGTGCCAGGTGTTGGTTGGCTGGAGTGCCAGGTGTTGGATGGCTGGAGTGCCCAGGTGTTGGATGGCTGGAGTGCCCAGGTGTTGGATGGCTGGAGTGCCCAGGTGTTGGATGGCTGGAGTGTCCAGGTGTTGGATGGCGGGGGACGCCCAGGTGTTGGATGGCTGGGAACACCCAGGTGTTGGATGGCGGGGGACGCCCAGGTGTTGGATTGCGGGGGACGCCCAGGTGTTGGATGGCGGGGGTGCCCAGGTGTTGGATGGCTGGGGTGCCCAGGTGTTGGATGGCTGGGGTGCTCAGGTGTTGGATGGCTGGAGTGCCCAGGTGTTGGATGGTGGGGGTGCCCAGGTGTTGGATGGCTGGAGTGCCCAGGTGTTGGATGGCTGGGATGCTCGGGTGTTGGATGGCTGGGGTGCCCGGGTGTTGGATGGCTGGAGTGCCCGGGTGTTGGATGGCTGGAATGCCCAGGTGTTGGATGGCTGGAGTGCCCAGGTGTTGGATGGCTGGAGTGCCCAGGTGTTGGGATGGCTGGAGTGACCAGGTGTTTGAATGGCTGGAGTGCCCAGGTGTTGGATGGCTGGAGTGCCAGGTGTTGGATGGCTGGAGTGCCCAGGTGTTGGATGGCTGGAGTGCCCAGGTGTTGGATGGCTGGAGTGCCCAGGTGTTGGATGGCTGGAGTGCCCAGGTGTTGGATGGCTGGAGTGACCAGGTGTTGAATGGCTGGAGTGCCCAGGTGTTGGATGGCTGGAGTGCCCAGGTGTTGGATGGCTGGAGTGCCCAGGTGTTGGATGGCTGGAGTGCCAGGTGTTGGATGGCTGGAAGTGCCCAGGTGTTGGATGGCTGGAGTGCCCAGGTGTTGGATGGTGGAGTGCCCAGGTGTTGTATGGCTGGAGTGAGCCAGGTGTTGGATGGCTGGGTGCCCAGGTGTTGGTGGTGGAGTTGCCGGGTGTTGGATGGCTGGATGGTCCGGGTGTTGGATGGCTGGAGTGCCCGGGTGTTGGATGGCTGGAGTGCCCGGGTGTTGGATGGCTGGAGTGCCCGGGTGTTGGATGGCTGGAGTGCCCGGGTGTTGGATGGCTGGAGTGCCCGGGTGTTGGATGGCTGGAGTGCCCGGGTGTTGGATGGCTGGAGTGCCGGGTGTTGGATGGTGGAGTGCCCGGGTGTTGGATGGCTGGAGTGCCGGGTGTTGGATGGCTGGAGTGCCCGGGTGTTGGATGGCTGGAGTGCCCGGGTGTTGGATGGCTGGAGTGCCCGGGTGTTGGATGGCTGGAGTGCCCGGGTGTTTGGATGGCTGGAGTGCCCGGGTGTTGGATGGCTGGAGTGCCCGGGTGTTGGATGGCTGGAGTGCCCGGGTGTTGGATGGCGGGGGACGCCCGGGTGCTGGATGGCGGGGGTGCCCGGGTGCTGGATGGCGGGGGTGCCCGGGTGCTGGATGGAGGGGTGCCCGGGTGCTGGATGGCGGGGTGCCAGTGGTGGAGTGCGGGGGGTGCCCGGGGTGGTGGATGGCGGGGGTGCCCGGGTGGTGGATGGCGGGGGTGCCCGGGTGGTGGATGGCGGGGGTGCCGGGTGTTGGATGGTGGGGGTGCCCTGGTGTTGGATGGCGGGGCTGCCCTGGTGGTGGATGGCTGGGGTGCCCAGGTGCTGGACGGCAGGGGTGCCCAGGTGCTGGACGGCAGGGGTGCCCACTGCTGGATGGCTGAGGTGCCCAGGTGCTGGATGGCTGGGGTGCCCAGGTGCTGGATGGCTGGGGTGCCCAGCTGTTGCACCAGCTGTTTTTTTTATTTTATGTGCTTATAACTTTTCTGAGGTGTTTAGTATCAGTGTGACTCTTAGTGAATTTTGTTGTTTACGTATTGGTTAGCAAATTGAGTGGTAGAGGGGGCTGGGGTTGTTGCAGTGGAAATTGATATGAGCATTGTGGTGTTGCTTGTTAGAACCAGTGTTGGCCACTTTTTAAGGTACCATACCAAGGATATGCTAATGCCTTGACCTTACTAGCCAAACTTAACTCGGCAGGTAGTGTAACATCCCCCCCTCCATGAAGAGTAGGGGTGCCATGAGTACACTAAAGAGATGAACGCAATGAGTGTCAGGAGCCCAAGACTGTTCAACAACTTCACAGTGTATATATGGGGGAGTTACCAATAGACCACTGGCTGTTTTCAAGTGGAAACTGGACCCTAATGGAAATAAATCAGAACTTCAGTGGAAATAAGTCACACAGTCTGAATTTTTTGGGTTATCCTAGGTAATCTACACACATGCTGCTATGTATGATAATTTATGCAAATGTATTTGTGCACCTGAATAAACTTACTTACCATCGGTTTGTTCATGGCAGGCAGTAACAGCCTGGTTGATCAGACCCTGAACCACTGTGAGGCTTGGTCATGGACCAGGCCGTGGGGGCGTTGACCCCAGGAACATCCTCCAGGCTTCTTCAAGATGTGCTGCATCTGCTGCATTTTATAAAAGAAACAATACAAGATTCAGAAGCAAATATCCAAATGCAAATAATGGTGACATTTTAATTTTGAAAAACCTAAACAGAGATGAAAACATTGTGGAAGTTAAAGCATGCAACCAACCTGTCATTTATTGGCTCATTGAGGGAGGTTCCTTGTTACAGGTGAAGGACTGTTCCAAGGAATTAGACTTGTCTTTTCCTTCCTTGGATCAAACTTTATTTCCTCCCATTCACCCAGTCTTTCCCTCTAAATACATAATAATAATAATAATAATAATAATAATAATAATAATAATAATAATAATAATTTCAAGGTCTTCACCTTGGCTGCAGTCTCAAATTTCGAAGACACATACAACAAATTTCCAAGAAAGTCTCCAAAACAATAGGCATCCTTTCAAAGATATGGTACTATGTACCCCAGTCAGCTCTTCTAGCTTTGTACCACTCTCTCATTTACCCTTACTTCACCTATGGTATTTATGCATGGGGCTCAACCACAGCAAATCACCTTAACCCTTTAATACCTCAGGAAAAAGCTGCAGTGTGATTGATTACTAATTCCTGCATTAGACAACACACTCCACCTCTTTTCAAGAATCTTAACTTCAAATTCAAATTCAAAATTTATTCTCTTTAAGGATTACAATGCTGAGTTTACAGAATTTGGTTATTGTGTGGTTTACATGTAGTAAAATAATAATTACAGAGTGTACCACTAGAACACCTAGCATGGCTAGGCATTTCGGGCAGACTTAAATTAAATCTTAAGTTTAAAATATTACAAAATTATGAGGTTAGTTGGTATTATGGCTAAGTGACTAAATACTAGTTTGTGAGTTTAGCAATGTGAATGCTTTTGTTTTGGCACTATACATAGTTTCAGTATTGGAGTATCACAGGCCAACTTATGACTAGTTAAGATTCATTATTTTGAGATTGAGATTGATATTTCTGTTTATGGTCAAATGGGTGAGTGAGTGTAAGTGTTAACCACCAGGTGGTATTCGTGTAATTAGTTGACAGGGTGTATCAGGGAGATAAGATGTTTTCTGATGGTAGTTTTGAAGGTGATGAATGTGTCTGCAGTTTTAGAATTTTCAGGTAGGGTGTTCCAGATTTTAGGGCCTTTGACATACATTGAATTTTTGTAAAGGTTTAGTCGGACACGGGGAATGTCATAGAGATTTTGTGTCTGGTGTTGTGCCTGTGGGTTCTGTCGCAACTATCAAGAAAGCGTTTTAGGTCAAGGTTAATATTGGAATTTAAGGTCCTGTAGATGTAGATTGCACAGTAGTAAGTGTGGATGTACTGAACAGGGACTAAGTTTAGATCTATGAAGAGTGGGGGGGGTGTGTTGCCAGGGATGGGATTTAGTGATTATTCTTACTGCAGCTTTTTGTTGGGTTATTATTGGCTTTAGGTGTGTTGTTGCAGTTGAACCCCAAGCACAGATAGCATAGGTGAGGTATGGATATATAAGTGAATGGTATAGTGTGAGAAGGGCAGTTTGCTGCACGTAGTATCGTATCTTGGAGAGGATCCCAATCGTTTTGGATACTTTTTTGGTTATGTGTTGGATATGGGTGCTGAAGTTCAGGTTGTTGTTGTCGGTATAGGTCTAGGAATTTGCCCTCATTATGCCTGGCAATTAGAGTGCTGTCGATCTTAATGTTAATTTGCGCATCTCCTGCTCTGCTACCAAACTTAATATAGTAGGTTTTGTCAGTGTTAAGCATAAGTTTATTGGCTGTCATCCAAGTCGATATTTTGATCAGCTCCTCATTAACAATGGTGTTGAGGGTGGCAAGATTAGGGTGAGAGATGACATAAGTCGTGTCGTCAGCAAAGAGAATGGGGTTCAGGTGTTGAGATACGTTTGGAAGATCATTGATGTATATGAGGAAGAGCAGGGGACCAAGGACACTTCCCTGTGGAACTCCAGTATCAAGTGGCTGTGTTGTTGATGCTGTGTCTTTAATGGTGACATACTGATACCTATTAGTAAGGTAAGATTTGAAATATGCAAGCGCATGGCCTCTTATACCATAATGGTCAAGTTTGTGGAGTAGGATGCCGTGGTCTGCTGTGTCAAAAGCTTTTCTTAGGTCAGTAAAAATTCCTAGTGGATATTCCTTATTTTCCACTGCTGTGTAAAGCAGATCTAGCATTTTTATGATTGCATCGTTAGTGCTTTTATTTTTCCTTAATCCAAATTGGCAGGGGTTGAGTATGTTTTGTACTGTAATAAATGAATATAGTCTCCTGTGCACGAGTTTCTCAAAGATTTTGGATAGCAATGGTAAGTTTGATATTGGCCTATAGTTGTTTAACCCTTTGACTGTTTCAGGCCCCTCTCTGAAACTGTCATTCTATGTCGCTCAATTTTTGAAAAAAAAAAATTATTTTTTCTTATGAAATGATAGAGAATCTTTTCCCGATGGTAATGACACCAAAAGTTCGAAATTTGGTCGAAAACTCATGGAATTACGCTCCCGCGAATTTAGTGGTCTCGGCGACATATGCGTATCGGCGATTTCGCCGAATTTGAGCCCTATTTTCAGCCAATTCCATTGTTCAAGTTGACCAAACTCATAGCTATTTCTTTAGAACTCCATTTTATCTATCAGCTGAGTACAAGAAACCTCCCATTTACTAATTTGGACTACCCAATATGGTGGTCAGAAATTGGCAATTTGGCCAATTTCACGCAAACTAAAAAAGATGCCAATTTCAAAATAGGGTCCAGAATAAACAAGGTAGACATTTGTGGCACTAAAATAACATATGCTCTGTTCATTAGTCACATCTCTAGGCCCCTCTTATATTATTATTGCTTTCTATTTTGATTTTTTATTCGTACAAAAAAATACAAAATTTACTGTTATGCAGGCTACTGCATTATTGTAAAAATGGTATAAATAATATCAGTGCACTAGTGAAAGAATATTAGACTCCCCAGTTGACGTGTATTGGATGTGTGGTGTGATTTATTTACACCTGAACATTGGTAAAAATCGAACATTTCCGCTACATACTTTGAGCTCAGTTTCAAGGTCGTTTTCATCGTCAAAGTAATGAAAATCATCTCTATTTCTGTAATATGTTTTCCATTTTATCACCTAAGACCATGAAAACGCGAATACAACAATAAATACTATACGAAAATACACCTCAAAGTCGGCGTTTTATTCCAAAAAAAACGATCGGAGTTTTTTTTTCTCATTACGCAATGTGTGCTGCAGGATTTTTTTTATGTGGTGCACACCGACCACACAGACCCACTCTCTCACATGTGGGCCTACCAGCTTTCTCCCGCTTGATTTGAAGCCGCTAGAATTATTGAGTATATATACGTCAGAAACACTGGCTCGTAAGACGTATTTATACGTCGAAAACAGTCAAAGGGTTAAATCTGTAGGGTCACCACCTTTATGTATTGGTGTAACCCTTGCCGTCTTGAGTAGTTTCAGGAAGGTGCTAGTTTCTAGTGACTTTGTTAAATAGTAATGAGATAGCATGCGAGAGGACATGGGCTGCTCTCTTGTACAATAATGGTGGGACATGAGACAGATTCCCTGAGTTATTTTTAAGTGACTTTATAATCTCGGTGACTTCCATGGGCTCAGTTGGAGCAAGATAGAAGAAATTTGGGAAATTCCCATCTAGGTAGTCCCCCGGCATGGGCATTGGTGCGTGGGATTTTATTGGCGAGATTAGAACCTATGGTTGAGAAGAAGTCGTATATCTTGTTAGCTGTGTCAGTGGGATGCAGTGGTGTTTCATTAGGTTTAGTTAGGGCAATATTCTTGTTTTTTTTTCAGTTTGTAGGTCCCTAGAATCTGAGAGAGTGTTTTCCAGGTCTTTTTTATATCTCCTCTTGTGTCTGTGAATCTTCTGGAGTAGTATAGTTGTTTGGCTTTCTTTATTACTTTGGTGAGGACACTCACCTACTACATACACAGAACACTATACTCGAATGTAAACCCATGTAGCAGATAAAATCAATGCAAGGTACATGGGGAAAAAGAACACTTAGATTATACTTTACATATTAAAAATATTCAGTAAGAGTGAAACTAGTTACTTGAATTATTTCAAAATCTGATGATGTTAATTGATAGTGTTATTGAGAAAATTTGGAACTGGATGGGAGATGACAAAAGTTGTCATCTGCAAACAGAACAGGTTGAACTTGTCGAGATACATTTTTAAGATGAGTAAAAGCAGAGGGTGCCTTGAGGCACCCCTATGTTGATGGGTTGTGTTGATGTGGTTATGACCTTGATGGAGACATATTGGTATCTTTTGATAAGGTAGGACTTTAGGTATCCAAGTGCATGGCATCTGATACCATAATGTTCAAGTTTAACCCTTTCAGGGTTTCCGACGTACTAGTTTGGCGTACGCACCAGGGGTATTACATACTAGTACGCGTAAATTCTAGCGCCTTCAAATCTGGCGAGAGAAAGCTGGTAGGCCTACATATGAAAGAATGGGTCTGTGTGGTCAGTGTGTACAGTATAAAAAAAATCCTGCAGCACACAGTGTGTAATGAGAACAAAAAAACTTTGACCGTGTTTTTGGTTTAAAAGTGACTTTGCACTGTATTTTCGTATGGTATTTATGATTGTATTCTAGTTTTCCTGGTCTCATTTTATAGAATGGAAGATATATTACAGAAATTGAGATGATTCTGATTGGTTTCACAATGAAAAGTGCCTTGAGATTGAGCTCAAAGTACCAGAAATTTTTTATTTTTGCCAAAGTTCAAAAGTAAACAGATCATGCCATGCATCCAATACATGTCAACTGGTGAGTCTAATATTCTTTCACAAGTGTACTGATATTATTTATACCATTTCTACACCATTTCTACACTAATGCAGTAGTCTGCATAAAAATAAATCTTCTGTTTTTTGTGAGAAAAATTCAAAGTGGAAAGCAAAAGAAATGTAAGAGGGGCCTGGGGACATGACTAATGATAAGAGG